AATTAAAAGCAATAATTTATCTTGTGTTAAGATGTTTTTACTGACATGATTTGAAAGAGGCACAGGTGACCTATAATATTGTGGACTTGGTGTGCTGTTGACATCTCTGTTCCATGCCAGAGACCTTTTTTTAATTTGGAGTGGTCCTTGTGCAAGGGTGCATGAGACACCATCAATCAGTGTTGCAGCCTGACGCAGCACAAAGCCCCGCCTCATGGAAATGTAAGTCGAAATCCAATAACTCATATTCTGTTGCTTCTGTTAAGTTAATGCATGAGGCATTCGTCACTCTCAGCTGCCTTGCAATGCAGCGACAGCCTCACCAGCTAGGTATGTGTCATGGTTCTTGGTCCAGTGGGTGCTGCCCACCTCACGAGACACCCCAAGCCATGCAAGAACCTAAATACCTGGAATGCGCCTGTCCGTGTCGTATGTGTCTCTTTTTTCGTCCTGTTCGTTCGCGCCTTTTAACTTTTTAATCTAAATACCTCGTGCCTAAATAGCCAAACTTTCCAAGCAACTCTCATTTGCTCTTTGCATTACTGAAGATGCCTCCCACAAGGGAGGTGAAACGTTTAGCTAAATTATTATTTCCGTTGTGTCAAGCCGACTTTGTTACTGGTTATCATGTCTTCGCCCGGCTTCTAGAGTATTTTTGCATGCAGATTCACGTAAAAACAAGTATAGCAAGTCATCCCTTGAAGTCCTACTGCATGCAGCATGGGAAAATAAATGTGAAATTGGGGAATCTGGATCAGGACGTGCAAGATTACATTCAAAAGCTCCGATAGAAGGGAGGCATCATTAACCAGACGACCACCATTGTCACTGGTTGGGGAATTGTTAAGGGGGGACACTACTCAAAAACGAAAAATTTTTTTTCTGCAAAAAAAGTTGATTTTTGAAAAATGTCATATTTACATCCACCACCATCTGGAGAGAAATTTTTTACTTTGAACACATTTTTCTCCGTTCCACATTTTGGCATAAATTTCATTTTAGGAAAACTATTGTTTGTTAATGGGACAAGAGGAAAGACTCGCTTATTGTTTTACCTAAGTGAAATTTTATGGGCAGTGCAACTATGGAATTGTTTTTTGACTTTGTGGATGTCTTTTATAAAAGATGTTAAGGTTTTGTGGATGACATAAAAGGCAAAAAAATTTATTTGATTTTTCACTGCAATGTTAGTATAAAGTAAATTACTTTATGGAAATTTTCCTTTCACAGCTGCGCTCTCCAGGCATTCTGCTGCGGCAAAATGGGCGAAATCCATGATAAGAAGAGTGAACCTCGTCCGTAGGAAAGTAACGCGGACAGCCAGGAAAGTTCCAACTGATTTCGAAGACATCAAGAGCGAGTTTCTAGCAAGAGTTGAAGACGTGGTGCGCGAAAATTAGATTCCGAAAGACATGGTACTTAACTGGGACCAAACTGGCTCGAAGCTAAGCCTGGTAAGCCACTGGATCTCCACAGGATCTCCACAAATCTCCTTGGTTGGACGTGACAACAAGAGAGTGATTACTGTCCTGATCGCAATAGACTACTTCCATAAAGCCCTGCATGCAACACGGCGCGCGTTACACTCTGGGAACTAGTTGGCCAGGGAGGAGGGTGGCATGGTTTCGGTTTCGATCGACACGTCGACAAGAGATTGTTTTCTGGTCCCGAGAGCGTCATTTGTGGTCTCTAAACTAACCTAAATGGCCAGACCTCGAAGCTTTAGCACAAGCCCGAGACGTATAGCTTGTCTTAAAACATGCTTGTTTTATTTTTGTACTTGAGCCTTCCTGTTAGCGCTCCAATCGAGGTATGTGGACGAGCCAGTGCTGGGAGTCTCGACGCTGCGAAGCTCGGGTGCTCGGGGATCTTGCTTGTGTACGAACCAACAAGCTGTAGCAAACAATAAGTATGCATACATCGAGCTCGCGCCTTTACATTAGTGTTGTTGATCAGGAAGTTTGTTTGCTTCGTGCGTCCATAGACGAAATATTTCTTTTTGCAACTACTGTTTTTCTTAATGTGCCTGAGTATGCGAGGTAAAACTCGGAGGTGCCATTGAAAAGCTCAATTTGAACACACTACTTACCTCTTATCTGTACTGACCCGCAGCACTGCACGAAGTGAAGTCCCCACCCGCTTGCATTTCACTAATATTCAACATCGCGTATGCGCATAAAGTTATCCTGCAATCATATAAGCACATTCGCGCATACAGACCGTTTTAAGAATGCAAAAGTCGAGCACTTGTGTGACGAATGTCGCACCGTTCGCCGGAAGTGCGTCAGACGGGCATGAACCCCTATGCGGTCCGCATTGGAGTTCATGCCCGTCCGGCGCACGGTGCGACATTCTTCAGACAAGTGCTCGAACGAATTCAAAGCGCATTTGACGGTTGCTAATGGCCATAATATTTGTTATGTGTTTGCTTTCTTCCTGCCTGACTATGCCGAGATAATTTCAGACACACCGTTCCCGGCACAGATCTCGGACGTCAGTAAAAGCTTGTCCAAAAAGGCTTAGCGAGGAGTAGGAAACGCTTGTTAGGGCCTCCGTCGTAGCTAGCCGATCTCAGCGTTTGCGAAAAGTGAATCTTCTATCAGCATAAAATTTGAGTGGGAGATATATGATGTCATGAGGAAGACATCATAGTAACTTTTGTGCAGTAGTGAGGTCGAATTTATTGCGTTTCCTTAAAAGTTCATGCGTAAACGCTGGCCTCAACTTTGATATCCTGTGAGGATGCGGCTTGCTTTTCGCCCAATGAAGTAACAAGAAGCGGACGTTTGGCAAACAAAATGCGTGTAAGGCTCCAGACGAACAAATTTCAGTTGTAGCTCACTGGTACTAGACGGGATTACTGACATTTAGCTCAAAGATGCACTCGTGGGGTGAGGTGACTAAGCCACGACTTACTACGTTCACATACGCACGCACAATATCCGGTGTTTCGGGAACCAAGGAAATTGCCCCGGTCTTTGTTTTGTATCGCTCCAGAATGAGTGTATTGTACGTTCGTGACAAGTCAGATAATCGAAAACGCAAGCAGCGCGTTCGGTCGCGGCGTGATAGCATGAGATGGAGCTGCTCAGTCGAAACCGAAACTGAGTGGCCAACTAGTTCCCAGAGTGCACTGCGTGGTATTTCGCCGCAATGGGGCACGTCGGTTTTGGAAGAAGTCCATTGCACTGGGAGGAGCCGTTCTGCCTCCCCAGATAATCTACACGGGAAAGACAACGAGATGCCGTGTAGCAATTGGTTTTCCAGCCCCCTGGGACATCTCGCATTCCCCAGACCACTTGAGTACTACCAACACGATGCTGCGTTACATAGACGCCATGCTTGTACTATAACTATCTACATTAGTGCGAACACATCTCTGCGTGGCCCGTGGTACTATCAGGGCCTCCTGTCGACTGCTCTTTGAAGTATGCGGAGAGCAAGTTCGTCTGCTTCTTGTGCAGGGGTTGCAGTAACGTCAGAACGCCGAGCTCTGATTGGCTCGAATGAAAAAATAGTGGGTCGCCACGACCCACTATCTAAACGTCGTCTGCTCCTTTGCAACGTCGTCTGCTAATCAACAGCTGTCTTACCTTTACGAGCGAGCTCGACTTCACCTTTCAGAGAGGGCAGACGAAATAACTTGAGAGGTAAGATGTGTTCTTGTCTAACAACTAGCAGACACACATCAAGGAGTGAAGCCAAAGGACTCGCGGCCGAGATGGCTGACGCGCCAAGGATTGTTTGCTAAGAACCGAGAACGAGGGAGGTTACCGTCCGCAAGTTCCCTCTTTTCGTGTACGGCGAGACTCCTCACCCTTTAATGGCTTCAGCGGGTTGGCGCGGTTGACGCAGTTTACATCGTCTGCTTTACGTCTGTTAGTCAAAGCAATGGCTGTTTTATCTTTCCTGCGTCTGTCGGAGATTCACCGCTTTTTCACAGACAAGAATGCGGCCTTCGAAAAAGGCGAAGGAAAATACCTTGTAGGATACGTCCTTTCTTTTGAGGCGAAGAGCTTCACTCTAGTAGCGAATATACAGGCGTCGTTTAAGAATTGTAGCTACGCAGTAAAAATGACGCTCTCCGATAAAGGCGACATTTTAGAGAGTCACTGTGAGTGCCTTTGTGGGGCCGCAAAGTGCAGCCCCGTGGTGGCTACTGCACTTTATGAAAAAGTTGTCCTGGAGCCGCGCGCGCGCACCCACAAACTGGAAGGTCATTGAGTTTGTGCATGCGCGCGCTTTCCGCGGCAACGGTCGCGCCCGCGGAGAGAGCCTTTTTATGGTTTTCGCTTTTGTCACCTTATTTTTGCTTTTGTACTGGGTTTGTTTTAGGCGTCGGTTAAAGGCTGCCGGTTTGCTTGGTTCCGAAGTCGAAAAGGAAGCGGGACCCGCTTTCCTTTCAGCTTTCGTCAGCTTTGCTCGGTCACAATGGCTTCTTGTGATTTTTCTTTTCTTTTTCTTTTTTTCAATGATTCTCTTCTTTTTTTTTTTCCGTTCACGTTGGACCGAAGGCTGCAGCGGTCGTGGCTTCGAATTGCGCTTGCTCGGAGGAGGCGGAAACAAGCTACCCGTGAAGCAGTGGATTTTGCTCGACAGTAAAATGAGTCGCAAGTAAGATACCAACCCGAGATTTGAGTTCAGTTAATCTCCTGTCTAGCTTCGCTATACACAGACCAAAAAAAATCACATTTTTAAGCTTTTGTGAAACTTTTCGAGCTCGGTACCCGAGTCATGGCCCACCCCACAATTTTTGAGAATTTCAGGCGGTGGTGGGGGGGGGGGGGGGGGGGGGGCGTTGACTCGGGATATTACGGTATATATTTTATAGCTTTCATAGTTGAACAGTACAGCGCACATATACTGAACTACACAAAGTTAAGCCTCATAAAAAGTCCTACCTCTGGAACACGAAAGTAAAAGAATAAAGGTCTCAGCTGTTCTACAAGGAGTGCGCTCTGGAGAAGGAGCACATGCAAGTACATTCAAATAGAACATACATTGTCGTGGGCTTCGTTCGAAGTAGCAAGGGCCGCCTCCGAGATGTTCTGAGCCTCGTCAATGATCTTGGCAATCTCGTCGTAGGCCAGGGCCGAAGAAGACGTCTGCTGTGTGGAGTTCAGGATTCTGCAAAGCAGTACTCGTTCAGTAGGTACCCTCGTCGTCTCCCACACGGAGCCACGCATAAAAGCATTTGGACGTCCACCAGAACGTCTGGTAATAACAGCAAAACACCCTCGGCCAAATACAATTCAGATATGTCTGCCCATGAATTGGCCGACTACAACCAGAACAAAAATTCTCCAATATTTGTGTTGCTCGCATTAAAGGTTCTAAGCAGGTTGCACACTTAGTGGCCTGAAGTGAATGGTGCTGTCAAAAACTCGCGGATGAAGATGACGCAATACAGTGTCACTGGACGGGGTAAACTGAAAGCCTTGTTTTTGATGACAACCAATTAGCTCGCTAAAATCATGTTTGCCACATTTTTCCTGTTTGGATGTATCAGTTTTCCTCGGACGCTGACACTCTTCGATTGTGGAAAGCTTCCCGAGGTGAAGACTAGAATAAATGCCACTTCTAACGAGGGTTAACATGTTTTAGCTCTGTTGAGCATGCACAGGGTAGTCCCAGCTAGAAAAAGTAAAACTTCATGGCCTGCTTGCTCAGCAAGCCACTGGCATGGTAAAAACTTTTGGGGAAATAAATCCTACATGATTATAAATGAAACTTGCTGAAACCGTGCATTTGAAGTTAATAAACCCAAATATAATGTTTCTCATTTTTTATTAAAAAATGTCTTCTAAACACATTTCTTTAAGGGGTTAGGACATGCCGAAAATAAAATGAGATAACTACCGTAAATTCCGAGAGATAGCCCACCTAACATTGAGAGCGGGTGAAAATATAGGAGTGGGCCAACTTTCGGAGTACGATCGAGAAAAGTTTGAAAAAATTGCTATATTTAGGTTGTGTCCCTTCCAAGCTTTCTTATGGTGGGAGGGACAACAAAGCAAAAATGACTGTACTTCCCAGTCAGCAACGTTCGCTTATACCTCGCCAAAGCTAACCAGCCGCATTTATGCTGAGGCCATCATTGATCCCAACACTACTTGTACTAGACTGGGCTATCTCACGGTGTTTAATAAAACATAGGAAATCAAGCCAAAAGTAGGGGGAGGGCTATTTTTCGGGGGTGGGGCATCTCTCGGAATTTTACGGTATACTGCTATCACACATTGTATCTTCCTATATTTTTTCCAGCATTAGTAGAGATGCACGGAAACTGGAGCTTAAGTTAATGTGTCTTCGTATATCAAATTGACTCCGTAAGTGTGACGTCATGGGTCCAAACAAATCGTTGCTAGGGTCGTTATGGACAAATACATGTGGCTCGGTTTTGCTGCGAAAACTTGAGCGTTCAAAAATCAGGAGTAGGATTCAAACTTCTAAAAATCACATATATACAAAGCTTGAATGTCATATATGTTTCGACAGAAGTGTGCCGGTAATCGCTTCTTTCTGAAATATTTACGACTGCAACTTCCGGTCCTTAAGATGCCTGCAGCAGACGACGAATGCAAGAAGTATGCCGTCTGCCACACGCCGGCCGGCCAAGCCGGCGCAGTCGTTTGAATCGCGTGAATAAAGACGATATTCTGATATTGCATTTGTTTGAAATATAATGAGTTTCAGACACTTACAAGAATTCATAGTGGGATAAGATGCAAAATATGGTTTTTCGAAAGTCCTGGCGTCGATCGAGATGATCGTCTGCTCAAAGATCACATTTGCACCCGTGAGAAAAGCACTTCAGGCGATCGGTTGACTTCCCAAATTTTGTTTGAGGACTCGCGCTATGGGAGGGTGCTTCGTACCTGGTTGTAACCATCGCGTGGAGAAAGATTCTTGTAGTTTCTTTAGATTTCCGCAAGACCCCAAAACGCGAAAGTACTGGATAAAAAACATAAGGTGAGTACATGTAGCACTGGCGGACAGTCGCCTTGGTGTAAAAAAAAAGGACCGAACCAACCGAGAGCACGTAAAACCCGTATTCTGTTTGGTCATAATGTCTTAAAATATGGCGCTATATTTATATATTATTACTATAACATTGATAAAGTAGTTGCATGCAAGTAGTAGTGAGAGTAAAATCCAGCTGAAACCTGCAGTAGTCTTACATTGCTATGGTAAAGCAGCGTTAAGAAGTATGCCTGTGTCCATGCGCTATCCGGTTATTTTGTTTATGCTTATATATCTACCTTTGCTGTTGTTTTTTCATTGTGCTCTTCATATGTTCCCCTTTACGGACTAGCTCTTGAATTTAGCATATTTAGTACAAGACTGGTGGATAGCGTTCTCCTTGTTCACCTTTGTTTATATATACTTTTAATTGAGTGTTTTATTTAGCTATATATTATTATTATTATTTTATTGAGGAACAACTGCAATGTTGTTCATGGGTACAATAAAACGTTGATTGACTATTATTATTTTTTTAGGAGAGCAGACAGCGAGCCGGGGCAACAAGCACGCATTTGCAGTTGCCATTTCAAGGATGGAAAAAAAAGCAAAATGCCAACCATTTTCCCTTGGAATAAGGAAACTCGTTTCCAATTTCCAGAAACCCAATGTGGACGGAGGTGAGGACCTGAATATGCGTTATATTTCATTATAAGGTTAATAACACACAATTAATTTTTTCTATCTCTTTATATTTAACAAATATTGTTTGATGTAGCATATAACCTTTGTGTATGCTTTGCACACATTGTGATTTGCAGGAAGCGAACAGAACCCCACACACCACAGCAGGCACACAAACCTACCACGTCAAGAGCTGTACTAGAAGCGGAGAATTACTTCCTGCAGAGAGTATGTGTGCTTTTAATATGTTCTTTAATTGAAAAGATGTCATATCAAACATGCCTCTTTAACATATGAATCATAACCATGATTTTTCATCTGAAGGTTTAAGTTAGCATGCCTACATGCACATATTTTCACATCCAAGACAGTGGCATCAGGAGTTGTGCGGGGAGGGGGTGGAGGGGGGGGGGGGGGGTGACAGGGGTGGGGTTGATTGATTCAGCCCCCTTTGCACAATATATCTTACTAGTAGTATTACTTCAAATATCACCAGCTGCTTCAACACGGCAGATTATATAGTATAGCGAACAATGATTGAGAACTAGAAATAAGAGACTTAACTGGGAAAAACTTCAAAGAAGGGTTTGCTCTGATCTTAACTTTTGATGCACTTCAAACTTGAGTCAGTTGCCAAATTAAGATAAATATTTTCTTTTCTCCGGTTTGTATGCTGATTATGACTTGTCAAGGTTCCTCCGCAGATTTTAAGGGAAACCCATGTATATTGGGCACAAAATAGACTAAACTAATCATCAGCGATCATAATTTACTGTCAGCACTACTACATTCACAGAATATTATTATAGCATGTGACTCTGCATTTAAAGTATACATAAACTGAGAAGCGAGCTTACAATTTGACAGCATCAGTTATACCACACATTTTTCGTTCCATTCAGGTCAGAGGGGGGTACAAGTCGTACATACTGTAATTTGAGTACATATTTTGCTATGATATATCATATATATTAGGTTCACTAAATTATATTACAGGAGGAAGAGGCTTCCGGGAAAGAACACCAAAGACGGTTCACCTTCAGTTCAATTGAGGAGAAAACCAACCTGGTCGTTCTCTACACGGGGCTGCCACACAAAGATATGTTTTATCTCTTGCTAGAGCTGTGCCAGAGGTTCACCATAAGCTACCATGCGGGATGGCAGGTGCAGTCCATTGAGCTGGCTGACCAGCTATTCATGACTCTCGTCAAGCTGCGCTCGAACACCACCCACCTTGACCTTGCTGTTCGATTCAGCTGCAGCACTGCCACAGTCTCAAATGTGGTGCTCACATGGGTCAACATATTACACAAGGTGCTTTGCGATGGGCTGATGGGCCAGATTCCTTCGGTGAACAAGGCCTGTCTCCCGTCATGTTTTGCCAGCTTCACCAACTGCAGAATCATCCTCGACTGCACAGAGGTTGAAGCTGCTGTCCCAAAGGTATTAAATACAACTGAAGTTTTCAGCTTAGCCATATGAAGGAAATATGTATTATATTCTGCCATATCACACAAATACATTTCATTGCCTTAGTATCGAAGAGCATTCTGCTCTATCTTCCTAGCAGTGAATTTTTAGGTCACGGGCCTCAGGGTGCTGCCTCCGATTTGTTTTTTGGCAATCATTAACTTTATAAACTACAGAAGTAATACAATGTCAAATATAAAATGTCAGAAAAAAAAACACAAGAAAGAATTGCAGCTGCTACAGGACCTGAACGTACACAGCTCACATACCGTTCAATGTTTCACACATATCACATTCTCCTGCCTGACCTATATTTCTAGCAATTGTTTCGCAACACATGTGTTTTGAGTGCTTGTAATATTGGGTGCCTCAGCCCAAATTTGTAACAGCCTATATGTAGCTGGCAAGAAATGTTGCCAACACATACAGGACTGCATGAAAGCAGATGCTGTCTTTGCCCAAGTGGTGATGTAACTTGTGAAGAACGTCAAAGTGCGATGATTAATGATAATCTTGTGAGAGACAAGTTTGAAATAGCTAAGTAAATAATTGATGCCATATAAAAACTCAAAACTTTTATAAAACATGTGCATAAATATCTACATGAACTCCTGGAACTTCTGCTTCTCCCAATGCACGCGGAAGCACCGTGGGAAAGCAGCAGTTCGGCTGAGCCTCGATCTGCTGGTTTTCTTGATCATGGTAGATCTCCATCAAAACATAACAAAAATCACACACGTCTTTGCTGCAGTCAAGCGCACTTCCCTCTTAAGAAGCTGGTATATAAGTTCTCAAACCTATGTGTTTCCTCTTAGCCCAGGTTTTCCGAAGAGCACTGAGTGAAATTTTATATTTTATAAATGCAAGATAATCTACCTTAAAATGTATAATTACTTACCCACTTTGTGGCGGAGGGTGTTAAGTATACATGACCCACTCGTGCCACTTCAAGAGATATAATTTGAGTGCTATTGTGTTTCAGGACAGTCTGAGCTAATCTGCTCATTTGT